CCATCATCTCGACCATCTTCTTTTTGCGGTCGTCGGCTTCCAAGTCGCCGCGCCGCAGCTGCTCCCAGAGCTTACGCGCGGCGATTTTGAGCTCGCCCGTCGGCTCGGTGAGCTGGCGCTCGGTGCGCTGTTTCTTCTGCTGCTGTCCGCGCGAGCCCAGAGGCCCCTCGTCTGCCTCGGCGTCCTCCTGTGTCGGGCGCTTATTCTCGCTGGTCTTCTTGTGTTCGGGCTTCTTGTATTCGGCCTTTTTGTCCGTCGGCTTGGCGCCGTTTGCCTTGTTGTTGTCCTTGACTACCTTGGGCTTGGGCTGGGGCTTGGTTGTGGAGAACTTGGTTCCAATCTTGCCTTTGCCTTTGCCTTTGCCTTTGCTGCCCGCTCCCGACGATCCTCCCTTTGCGCCGCCAGCTGCACTGTGCTTCCCGTTTTGTGGTTTGCCCATTATATGTTTGATTTTTTTAGCTACGCGACTGTATTTGTATATGTATAAATGTGAGGGTATAAAGAAAAGTTTGCGACAAATAAGAATATGAATATAGGAAGGCCATGGCAAAAAAGCCTTGTGAGAAAAAACAACCAAGCTTTATTTTTTTTTTGCCGAGTGGCAAGCAAAATGCGATGAAGGAAAAAAAATAAGCGAGCAGTAATTTGATTTGATCTGCCGTGGGGTTATTGATTTTCTGATTTGATCCTGATTGTTAAATTTTGCATCAAGGCCCTCCTCTCATGTCACATGCAAACCAGCAAGGTTGAGATTTTCGGATCTCTGGGATTCTTTTTTTATTCCTGCGTGTGAGTATCGTTGATTTGCGAGAGAGAGAAAAAAGAACATCTTTTCAGTTTTTATTTGTCAGCCCGCTCAAAGATCGAAATACAAAGGATATTGGTATTTTTCTGCGCTGCAATGCATCTCTCTTTTCTTTTATTTGTAATGTAAAATTGGATATCCTTTCCCTTTTTTTCTGTTGCATTTACTTTGTGAGATTCAGTTAAACATTTTATATGTATCTTCTGTTCAGATTTACATTCTGCCTCAGGAATATCGGGGGGAAAAACGAAACGAAACGAAAAATAATAGTAATAGTAAGCGGATGTGGCAAACATTGAAGCGCCAAATCCGCACCCTACAATGATAGTTTACAAAATAATCTCCATCCATCCCTTCCATCCCCCCTTTTCCTTTTTACGAAAAGAAAAAATATAAAGGCGCAATAGATTAAAAAGAAAAGTGCCAGGAAAATAAAAAATAAAGGACAAACTTTTTTGTTTTGTACAAAATGTATGATCGTATAACCAGATATACCAAAAAAAGTTCCTTTATGTAAAAGAACAAAAAAATATATAAAAGACTCGTTACAAAGAAATATACAAAAAAATAGCGGTTTTTATTTATTTTATTTTTCTATGTGTATGCGTTCGCCAAGCGTTTCTCCCTCTTTTTTATTTTTTAGCCACGTCCAAAATGTGTTCTTTATAATTAAACACATTGGCAGTAAAAAAAATATGCATTGGCGTTATTGCCATTTTTTCTATGCCTACATAAACTATTATAATTTTATTTTGTTAAAAAAAGTTTAAAAGAAAATTATATTCAAGGACATTATATTATTATTTTGCAAAACAAAAAACCAATACAAAAATTTGTTTAAATAGATTGCGAAAAGTCACCTCTGTCATTTTGAAAAAGCTATAGACTCCCTTATCTTCTATTTCTCCATTTCCTCTTGCCTACCATCATTTTCTAATTTCAATACAAATTAACAGAATATCATTTTTTATTCTCAATTACGCTCAACCTACATTCACCCATTTTACCCATCCGTTTTTTGTTGACCACCCAATATCGCTTTACTTTTTTCTTCCTATTTACACTTTCCAAAAAAAATAACAAGCACAATCATGAACAACTACAACAACTACCCTCAGTACACCTCTGACCAGTACCGCAACCATGCACCCATTCCTCAACACATGGTGTACCCGCACAAGGGCGCAATGCCGATTATGAGCAACCCAATGCACAGCAATCCCCACATGTCCCCTCGCCAACCTTACCCGAGCATGTCACCACAGAGCAACAGCGGCAACTACAGCAACAACCAGCAACCAATTACCCAAGCCTCGCATATAATCTCCGAACCCACCTGCCGTATCTACCGCACAACCACCGACAGCACGGAGGAAGCCACAGAATTTACTGCCCGCCAACTCATTGCCTTTGATGGCAAGATCTTCATCGAGCACTTGCCAGGCCACAACATAATCTACGCGCCCTCCAAGCCCCGCATGCCCTCTCGTATAACCAAGCTCAAGCTCAAAGCCAAGACAATAGACCGTCCAAAAAACGTCTTTTTCATGTACCGCAGCCACAAAGTTAAGGAAATGCAGCAAAAGTACCCGAAACTCAACCAAACGGTGTTTTCGCGTATTGTCGCAGAACATTGGAAAAACGAATCAGATGAGGTAAAGGTGTTTTTCAGGCAAAAGTACAATGATGAAATGAAACAGTATGAGTTGGCCAAAAAGGTCAAAACTGTTAAAAAGCATCGCTTTGAGCTTTACTCTCAACAGCAGCAGTTTTTGCATATGGAAGAGGATGGAGGCGCGCAGTCTGATGGGACGGCGGTAGTCTCAGGTGATGCAAGAATAAAGTATTCTCGTGAAAGCTCGGTTGAGAGAATAAGGGGCCCACCAATGCCGTTTGCTAGGCAGAGAAGTTTTACTATGCCTGCTGATCCTAAACAGCAGGCTGATATGTCTAGAATTATATATTAAGTTTTAGCTTTATTTTCTATATTTTGCTGCATAGCTTTATTTTCATTATGTATTTTTATATATCTACTTGTAATTTAACAATCATATCCAAAATTTCTTTTTTCCATTTGAAACAATTTGTTTTATTTATTTATGAAAATTACTTACAGTAGCAGTTATGTTAATAAAACATAGATGTGAATTTAAGTTAATTATACACATAATGACCTAATACATTGCAAAAAAGACTACAAAAAATCCTATATATATTATACAAGCTTATTTATCATAGGGCTTGCAGTGGTCGCATCCTACCTATTATCAGGAGACATCGACTACGCAAATAACTCAAACTGTAAATATGAGGCTGTACAATAATAGCATATTTCATATAAAATACTTTAAAGCAATCCTTTTTTCCATCAATACATATGGTTCTTGTAATGTAGTGGTCTATCTAGGAATCCAGTCAGTGGTATTTGCCTCTCGGTATAATGTTAATGATTCTGTTGATGATGGTTTTGTTGTTGGTTTCTTTGTTGTTTTGGCGTGACAATAGTTGTTGTGCCGGGAAGTAGTAGTGGGCTTGACAATTGAGCTAGTAACAAATACTTGGTGGCCAGCAGTGACAGTGTTTGCTTGTTTGCTTGTTTATAACGTTTGATGTTTGTTGTAGGTTTGGGGGTTTTAAACACATCTTCCGACCCAAATATTTCCTCTAAACCATTCCCCCCGTCATTGACAGCTGCAGCCAGTGCGGCTCCGACAAGGACAAATGAAAATTCAAATACAGAGAGCTTCTTGAGTAAGAATAAATACCTTGTTTAAAACGAATTAGTGCAATAAAATATTTTGGTTGTAATGGAGTGGTGATAAATATAAATATTTGTAGAGAATTGAGGTTCTGCATTCAGGGTTTTTATACAATTGATAACCACCCTGTAGAAAACTAACATGGCCCTTATTACATAAACAAAAATGTGCAAATAAATGTTTCCTATTTTTTCCTATTTTTTCCTATTTTTTTCTATTTCCATTATTTTTTCTTATTCCAATTTTTTTTAGCCAAGCAAAAAATAATAATAAAATAGTTGTCATATAATATGTATGTGCACACATTGACTGTCCAATAATTTTACATTTAAAAGCTACAACAGCAAGGAAAGTTAAGCAAGCTGTCTTTTAAGCCGTCTCTAAAAAGAATACCAACGTGATCGCGCCTGGAGTTTGTATAATATAATATAATATTCTTTATTTCTATCGAAACCACGAACTCTTGGCTTTTACCAAAAGCGCCTGTTGTATATCACACGGCAAAGTGCACATGCGGCACCGCGGTGAATTATCCATGTTGCTCTATAATAGCATATATTATTGATGTTGTTGGAACCGATGGAACAAATAGGACTAATAATGTATGGCTCAGCAGACCAATTTGCATGTCACTTGGTCTTATTTTTAAAAACCAGCCTAGTTGCACACAACTTACTGGACAGAACAATATAGGGACAGACTGATGGCAAGATAGGCAACCTATAGATTTTAGATTGCGTTATAATGTGCAAGTGCATACATATCTACTCATTCAAGTGTACAATATGTACGATATGTACTAAACATATAAGCTGTTTCATATATGTGTAGAGTGGTACTATGCAACTAGTTGTCTAGAGAATGATATGTGGGTATGCTTGCTTTTATTCAAATTAAACAGATAGTGCAAAAAACCCGGCTAATGAGTCTACAACTACCAACAAGCACAGGTCACGTTAAAATTAAAATTAACACAAACAATTATTTTATAACTTAAACAAAACAATATCAAAACATATTTATAATTTACTATTGATAACAGTGGCATACATGTTATTGATAATACCCTTGCCCCAGGCTAAAGTTTGCACAACAAAACAAAAGCTACTGAGTACCATTTTTGTATTCGGGCCCGGATTCGTGTTGGCCAATGTGGGGATGACGAAAGGATCAACCCGACAGACAGAAGTGCTCACCACCGCTTGAATAATTGTTTTTTTACTTCTTTTGCAATATTGACTATTTTTTTTTGCCCTGTCGTGGATTTAGTTTAAGTGTTGGAATATAGGAACGTTCTATGAACGTGTATATAAACTATAATGATATAAAGTATATTTAATAAATAAGTGCTATGCATTGTGAAAGGTAAAGAGTAGAAAGCATATTGCTTTGGTCACTGTGTGACTTATTGTTTGTGTGGCTAAACAGCCAAGACTGGTTAATCAGCTGATCGCCATCAACCAATATTAAGACTTTGTTTTTGATTTTTGACATGGCCACTACCAATCATATAGTTTTAATATCAGTCTCTTCTACGCTAATCACGGCAATATAAGCCTTATCGCGGCGGTTAAACGTGGTCTTAGTTGCTACAGGTATGCTAAGAGAAATACACAGGATATCGTTGCGAGTAGATAGCTTGTGGGTATCCTCAGCGGCCGTAACCGATGCAGCTCCTGCGAGGGCAAGTGCAAATGCAAAAATAGTAAACTTCATGAATAAGAATAAATACGTTGGCTGGATTAAATAAAACAATAACCTAGATATAATGTAATAAAATAAATAACTGCAAAAGTAAAAAAAGCTCTGAGGGACGAAAACCATGGTCAAATTATTTATACGCTAAATTGTAGACATGGATGGAGATGGAATGGTGCTGGTAAAAAAATGTTTAACAAAAATATGATTCTCTTTATTTTTCAATTGAAGGATAATGCACATTATTTTGGCCAACATTTTGCGCTTGTTGGCTTTATCAAAAATTGGCATTTTTTTATTAAAAATAAATAAAAGCTGTGCATGACAATTTAAAAAAAATTAAAAATTTTTTAAAGAGTACAGCTTGACCACGTTTTATTTGCATAATAAAACAACACTTATTTTTTGCACCTGCTGCAAATCACATGGAAGCTACACGTGAAATTTGCCTTACATTGCTCATAGTAGGCATTGAAAAGTAGTTGTTGGTTGATCGAAATCAACTGATTAACCAGACTTGACTGTTTTGCCAAATGTTTATAGGGATCGGTGGCACCACTGCTCAATCTTGCTGCGTAACACACATTACAACTGTGTTTTAGTTAGTTTAAATTTATGATATTGTAATGCCTGAGTGTGGGTATACGGGATGAAATTGAAATACGAAAGTATAAAAAATGTCTGGTATGGAACTAAATAAACAACACCGTGTGGGCGGCACTATAAAGGTATTGTTGGCATTTGATATAAACCAATGTTATAGTAAGAGGGGGGTGTGAGGAGCACTAGTTGTCTAGTGTTAAAAGTTAGGGGTGATTTTATAAAAGGTTTTATTACTGATGTTTCTAAAGTACTACTAGCGCCGGCCTCGTCTTATATATGTGCCTTGTCGCCTTTGTTGTGCACATTGTCAATTGTGCGCTCCGTTGGTGAGAACTGGATCTTCTGCGAGCAGACCGGTATCTTAGCAAGTCAATGTTGTGGTTTTCGTGCGTGTACGCTCATGCGTGTGCATTGCAAAATGGGGAGCATGTTTGGGCATCAATGTAATGCCTCCCTAATTTACGCCTGCATTATCCAATTAGCGTCCTATCAATCGGCACGCAGGTGGAAACCTGTTTCGCGATTCTCGACCTCAACATCCACTTCCATATCTTCAGTCTGCGCAACACCAACAATATCAGAAAGAAATATTACACCAATAATAAAATTATTGGCGATATTGATACTTAAAGATGGGAAGAGAAATCCAGAATATGGCTTGGGCACCACAACTACTAACAACAAATAACCATCTTGTTATTGAGCATTATAATCAATAACGAGATTGTGTTCACCGTCCATTGGATCAAATTACTCATTGAGTCCCTCACCGAGTTCCTCATTATCGTCCATATTTTCAATACTATCGTTGTTTCCACCCTTGGACTTTTTATGGCCGCCATTTGGATGACGAGAAGACCAATCAGATGGGCGGGAGCGTTTACCGCTGTGCGATTTCCGGTGTCTTCTACCACTTTTGTTGCCATCGTGGCTCCAACTATGGAATTCATCATCCAAACCAAGAGGTCCAATTTCGTTTTGGTTCCGTTCGATATTCTGATTGCTTGTTGAGGTAATCTGAGACTCATCGCGGCGGTTTAACGTGGTCTTGGTTGCTACAGGTGTGCTTATAGGAATGTACAGGATATCGTTGCGAGTGGATGGCTTATGGATATCTTCGGCGGCCGTAACCAATGCGGCTCCTGCGAGGGCAAGTATAAATGTAAAAGTAGTAAACTTCATGAGTAAGGATATATACGTTGTCTGGATTGAATAAAACAATATAGTTAAAATGTGATAATAAAATTGTGATAATGTTAAAATAAAAGGCTGTTTGACAGCGAGTCTGACTGCTGGTTTTTATATTATATGGTCGATACTAACAGAAAATAAATTGCATTAGTATAAAAGTTGTCAAGCATTTATTTTTTGGTTTCCTCTCTTCCTACTGCCAAAATAGTTTACTTTTTGTTTTGGCCAACACATTGCGCACGTCAAAACAATTGGAAACTACAAACTGTCTTTTAATGTTGCTTTTGGCTAACCATTTTAAAAAAGAAATATTTTTATATGGCATTATTTATACAAATATTCAAAAGAGAACAGCATGGCAGCGTATTCTTTTTATAATAGATTGTAGATTCCATTATTTCTATTGGAATTGAAAACCCTGGCACTTGTTTGTCACACCTACTACAAATTATATGAAAACATGTTTGGTAGTCACATTATTTTCATATATTGTGATAACATTGATGGGCGCCCGCATTAGTTTTGAATAGTTTTGAATAGTAATAATAGGGCTGGCTGTTAGAGTAGTTTTTATCAGACTATGGTCAATATTATTCTGTATTTTTGGAAAATAATAATCTAGTTGTGCCCAGCTGTCAGTCAAAGCGGGCGAACAATTTTTTTACTGTCACTTAATATTATAAAAAAAGAGCACCCGCTCATGGTTTTCAGCATTATTTTTTTAAAACAAAAAACACACTCGTTCTTTGCTACACGTACATAAGGAGTAGTCCTGATCAGCGGGATGGACACACTAAATCCATACAAAGACAACTTTTGTTTTTTTGGATTTTATTTTTAAGGTATGGCAAAAGCCAACACATGATCAATTTTTATAGCACTACAAACCAGCAGTATTTAACATGTGTGAATTGGTTATCCGCACAACCAAATTAAATTAGCAATCTTTGTTGCCTATCAGTAAAAATTGGTTTTGAATTTACAAAAATAATTAAATAAACTAGTTTAGCAATGGAAACCAACTTTGAATCTGAGGCTGGTTTTTAATGCAAAATAAGTGTGATTGATAGCTTATTTAGTTGGTGTCAATGCTGCAGATACATGCATTTTTAAACGTAATGTCTCCCCCTTTTTGCTTTGCCCTATTATCTTTGCGTGTCAAAACTAAAGTGTGCATTGTGAACAAGCAGATATGGCTGTGCATGTATATTAATGCGACGATTCTCAATACAGATGATTACTGTAGCTGGTAAATAATTTAATTATTTTCTTTGTCTTTGAAATTGTATTGTATGTTCTGCTTTTTATTTGAGGTACAGCTATGCATGTAAGCAGATTCAACAAACACGATAATATTGTGTTTACAATTAAAATTGGCAAAATGTTTAACGCAACACTTTATCAATTTAATACTTGCAATAAAAATAGACTGCACTCATTAATTATAAATAAGGCGGCTGACGGCACTGCGCAATACTTTGTGTATTCCATATTCACACAGCTTGTTTTATTTTTTTATTCCAACTCGTCTGCTCAACCATTTTTTATTATATATTATTATATCTTTTTTGCAAATGGACAACTTTCAAAACTACCATCACTCTTTACCCGAAAGAGACACCTTTGCACTCGATCTTCCCTTTATTTTGCCTTCTCGCTACGTTTCCATTTATTCCTTCTCAGCTGCGTTGGCTTCAGCGTCATCTCCGTCTTCAATGTTTCCACCCGCAACAGTTCAAGCCCAGCACTTAGTTCTGCCGCCAATAAATGGTTTATTGACGCCAATTAGCCCATCCCAGCCGCTTCACTCATTGCCTATCCCGCGCATGCCCACTCACAACAATGACGGCAACGATAACAGCAATGATAGTAGCGATGATGAAATTCCTCAGTTTACAACCAATAGCCGTATTCTCGGCGAGTCTGAAGCATTTGTCTATTACTACAGCTGCAAAGCCGATAATTTTGTCAAGCGGCCTGTTGACCAAATATATGGGCCCAACGGCAAGCTGTACATTGAGCACATTCCTGGCCACAGCATCATCACTCTTCCAAAAACCGTACCCATTCAAAAACCCACCAAAAGGATTGCTCAAAAAAAGTCCGCCAAAAATAACTCTAATACCGGTCTCAATGGCAAGCCAGCAAAGCCCAACAATGTTTTTATTAGATACAGGTGCGCCAATTCTAGCAGAATCAAAAAGTTCTTTCCCAATGCCACCCAGACCGATCTCTCGCGTATTGCTGCCGAGTACTGGCGCAACGAGACAGTTGAGGGGAAAAAAGGTTTTACAGCGAGTACAACGCTGAGTATTCAGAGTACATCAAAAAGTTCAAGCAGTGGGAGATTCAGACAAAGCAGTTAAAAATAATGTGCTACAAAGAATCCCAGCCTCAAATGATGAGCATGGCATCGGTAGTCATGCCAACTCCTACGCATTACGAGTCTACTGATTTTTCTGGAGCTGGCCCAATTAACCACTTGGAGTTTGGTGATTTACCTGGTTTCAATCAAAAACGCCGGCGCAGCTACTCTATTCCTGCGCACAGGTTTATAGCTAAACAAATTCCTAAACAGAGCGACAAGAATCCAGCCCGCAAGCGCCAGAGAGTCTATCCCGTGGCTGAGCCGCATTTTAATTAGTTTTTGTATAATACTTGCTTTATACGCTTTGTATCGAGTTTAGAGTAAATAAATATACATTGTAAAAATATACAAATTTTAGAGTGCAAGATAAGAATAGAACGAATAAGTAATAATATTGAAAATTTGTCATGGTAGAAATATTAACAGATACAAAAAAGCCACACGCCTAAATAATGCGTCTGGGATATTCGATGGGCGGATTGGCTTCAAGATCAAACGATTCTATGGAGCAAAAATGATTGTTTTGGAAGCTGATACCGGCAACTGGTGCTTCAAAGGTGCTGTCGTTGGTCATAGCCGTTGCTGGTCTTAGGATGTTGCCCCCATTTTGAACCAGCATCCTGAGGGCGTGCATCGGGTCCTTGTCATAGTAAAACTTGTTTCCCGTTTTTGTTCTTTCGAACATGGTCTCCTCAATGTTTGAGCAGTTTATATTCTCAAGCGGTGCCGAGTCAAACTCAACAGAGTATTTTTGGAGGTATCCGTCCGTGCGCAGCTTCTGCGCCCACTCCCTGTCGTATGCATCCTTGCGGAACATGCACTGATAGGCCGGGTACGCAAGCATGATCCAGATAATAAGGTTGGTCGCAATGCAGTCGATGAGTGTCTCGGATTGGCGAAAGGCTCTGCTGAAGACGTAGTAAGGGTGTGTTGCGTGAACAACTGTGGACTTGACCAGAATTAAAAAGCCCAGGCAGCAGGTGAACAGAGTTTCGT